CATGACGCAGTATGTGGCGTAGTTGTTACACAAAATATTAAGATAAAAATAGAAAATGATGTCATTGTCACGTGGCTGCCGCAGTAAGTTGGTTCCGATTGATCGACATGCTCGGGACTTCCCCAGTCCTTATTTACAATCTCACAGTATAATATGCTTTTAGCTGTTTAAAAATTTCTTCATGAGTTGTTGAATTAATCTCTAATTTAACTCTGGCAGAGTTTTCTTCCAATAAAAAGATAGAATTTAATGATCTAATGTTAACAAAAAAAAAAAAAAAAAATTTTTAAACTAGTGTTCCAATCCTCTAGTGCAAATTTCAAAGAAAAATGAAACATCAGCTAACAGGATTTCACCAGGATGGTCCACAAAATTTAATTCATTATTATTTGCCTTTTCCTCAGCAAAAGACTTGTATTTAAAAAATGCATCACTAATACTGACATCTGCGATTTTCCATTCCTATAAAAATAGTGGATAAACTTTTAGCTACTAACATTAAATAATGTATAATATGTTTATATATCTACATACAGATTTTATTGGTTTACTACTCTCCTCATGAAAGGTCCATTCTAAGACATATTTTTTCTTTTCCTTCTAAATATATATATAAACATTTGAGGATTAAAGTGCAGTGATTAACTAAATCAAGATTTCCCAAGTAAAAATATTTACTGTTATCTCCTTTGTATCATCTAAACGTGATTTTTTTGTTTCAGTGTTTCCACCAGTTTCATCTTCAACTATTGTCAATATAAAAATCAACCAAATCAATTAATATAAATAATATTTAAAAGTAGAACAATTAAATTACAATAAATATACCAGATTTATTTTTGCGAGTGGATAATGAGGAGGAAGAAGAAGATGGTTGGTTATTAAAACTATGAGTACTGATGATAGCAATTTTATCAATAAATTAATTAAATTAGAACTAGAATGTTCTTCTTAATAACTAGAGTGACGACGAGTGGCGGGCGATAACCACCACCATCCTTAAAGCACAATAGAGAGGCTCTGAGCTGTGTGCCGTAATCAGAGGCCGGAATTTAAGACTCTGAGCTGTGTGCCGTAATCAGAGGTTGGAATTTGAGAAACCTGAGCTGTGTGCCGTAACAGGGAGATTTATATATTGGACTTTTTATTTATTTTATCTTATATATTTATTGGACACAACCCAAGCTGTATTTGAATTTACATGCTCGCAATACAAAGAATATCAATATATCAAAATCTGTGGAAGAATTATGTAGGAGATGTTCAAATTTTTCGAGAGTGAATAATAGAGCAAATTTTGTAGAATCATTAGAAAGTACATTTGATGAATTAAAACAAAATCTTGGACATGAAGAGAAAAATTTTTTAAGGACATGTAACAATATTTGGATTCATATGTATATATCTCTTAGCTTCATATTAAAATTTCTTTTTTAATGTATAAAATGATTTCCATTAAAATGTTAATAATTATACTTAATTAGTGGTGAAAATTGGACCACAAGTTTTAATAGTCATCATAAGATCGAAGATACATATGTTCATCATGTGTTACATCAATTTCTACGTCCTTTTTTTCCGGATGAGGTGGGAAGAACTATTGAGTGGTAATTTCTTAGAATAACATTGTGATATTATTCACATGTATCATAGTTGTTAGCCAAAATTGTTTTTGCATTTGCCAGATATTTCGGCAACATTTTAGCTATTGAATCAAAGAATCCAAATAATTTTGGATATAATTTTGGCCACTAATAAAATTAATTTTGGCTAACAACTATGACATGTATATGGAGTTCTTCTAAGATAAATATTCAATAAACATATTGTAATCTTTTTCTAATAGGACCAACAAATTGTCAATATCAAGTGCCTGGAGGAAATCTGATGAAAAGGGTCAAGGCCATAAACCAGACTTTTTGGTTGCAGTTGATATCAGCGGTGATATCAAATATGAAATACTATTTGGATTATTCAAACCCCCTTTTAAAACTAGTACACTTATCAATGTAGATCTTGTGGATTTGGCTGTAATGATGAAAGATTCATTAGATATGGCATATTTAAAATATAGATTTGAATTAGATCTGACTGTTTTTGGTATACATGGATTTGGTAAAGCTTTATTCACATCCTCTAATAATTGCAGATTTCTGAATATTCTATCTGATTGATTTCTATCATTATTATAGGATATAATGTGCGAATATATGTAATGGATCTTGTCTATGATGGTATCTACAGAATGTATTTATTAGGTGAATTTGAACTCCCAAGAAGTAATTTAAGTCTAAGTCTTGTTGAATATTGCATTTGTGAAATGAAGAATTTAAAGGTAATTTTATGACTTTTGGTGTTACTGTTAATCACATTTTATTGATTACACAGTTTATCATTCTTCAATTACAGGATTTAGTTGATGAAAATATCAAAAGGGTTCCCCCTTTCTTACTATTGCAAACTGGTGATCAAACTCCAACTATGTGGGCATCAATGACAAGAAAGACATTGGCAACACCTAAAAAAGTAAATCTTCATTTTTATATGTCCATTTATTTATTATTTGATTTCTAATTGCTCTTTTTTTATTGTTGCTTCACAGGTTGAAGTTTGATATATAACAATAAATATTTATAATATATAGTAATAGTTTTAAGAAATAAAAATATTGATAGATTATTTGAAAGTCTCAACACTAATGTTATTAATATTAATTCATATCTGTGTGACATTTTATCTCATGTTTTGTACCTTCCTCGCATTTTCCAGGTCAAGGTACTGCAAGGGAAAATCAAGAGTATGATGCAATTCCAAGGCTTGGAGCCACCTCTGAACTTTAATTGCATTTAATTGTATCATTGGGTATCGCAAATCAGATTAGCCTTGTGAACATGAGGAATTCTTTTTCAAAGAAAATTGAAGTATTGTTAGAATGAGAAAAGTTTAAGAATTTCTCTGATTTTGGATTTAAAATAAAAATAATTAAAGTCTACAGAAATTCTATTTTTAATGTTCACTTTGTCTGGTTTTGTTGGAGTATGCCCCATATATAAATTTTCATTAATAAGGATTTTTTAGGGGTTTTGCGGATTTATTATTATTTTTTTGGTGCCACAAAAAATTTTTAAATTTATTATACAAATTGGCAAACTTCGCACAATTACAAAACTCAAAATAACTCTTAAACTATATGTCATATTCAAATAAAAATTTATGTTTTAGATTCACTTTTTGATGCTCTTTAAACTAATAGAGAGCCTTTTACAATTTTACTTGCATAAAATTTTGTAACATATATTCGCAACTTTACTTTGATTTTCTAGTTAAAATAAATGCCATTGTTTATATTAAAATAAAAAAGGGCTCTATTACTTTATTGTCCTATTTCTCTAGTATGTTTTAAACTTAACTCGGAGTCAGTATCTCTATTCTTTAAAGAGTTATAATCATTCAAAGTTTACTATTGAAAAAAAGATCGGCAAAAAATTATCATATATGAAAATTTATATGTGATCAACTATGTTTGTAAAATCATATAATGTAAGACACCCCAATAAAATATGACTATATTTAGCTGATAATTTTATTATTAAATAAAAACCAGTTGATTTATTTTTTTAAATTTTTAATCTCTGCCAATAATGTTTCATGATTCATTTTGATTTCCTTTTAAGATTTTCAATTTCCTTTTCTGGCTTGGGCATGTCTGCCAATTTTCTAAGTCTCTCAGAGATAAATGGAAGAAATTCTGGATCTTCTTGACTATTATCAATTTCTCTAATTCTTCTTCGAATAACTTCAACTGGCACATAATAACATCTATATTAAATTATCAAATTAAATTATTTATGTTTGTTTGCCAAAGACAAAAAAAAAAAAAAAAGCATAATTACAATAAATCAGGAAACCATTCTCTCCAACGACATTGATTAGGAAGTAAATAAAATAATTCAATGTCTCTTATGATTTTTGCCTTTTGAGCCAAAAATGCTTCATTTATGTCATATTTTTCAATTTGATTGCTAAGAAGACCAATGAACAAATTCATTAAATATATAACAACAATAAACGAAAATGCAATAAATAATATTGCTAGATATGGTTCATCTTGTAATTGCCAAGATCCAAATGCTCCACTATCACCTATTAAAAAAATCAATTATATAATCAATATTTTGGTGAACATTGAAAATGTTAGTTAATTAATATAGATTTACCTGTGAGGAAATTATACATTGCCAGCATTGAGGAGTCAAAACGTGCAAACATGTTTGTGTTGCTGTCAGGTTGTTGTACAATAATTGAATTCTGGTTATATGTTTTGTCACTTGTAAAATATGTAAAATATTTAGAAGCAAGATTCCAAGGATTATTGGAATCATTAACTTTGAAATCAGGGCTGTCTAGTGTATAATCCTGATTTGGTTTCAATATCATATAAAATGCATGTGCAAAGCTTAAAACAATTAAAAATAGAATCATTAAAAATGAGAAAACTTTTCTTGCAACTCCTAATATTATTGCAAAATATCTTCCAAAATAATCTAAGCCTCTTAAAAATAACATGAATTTTAAATCTAATATTAAATTTGATAATGAAATCAACTTGATAGGTGATGGGTTATTATTACTTAACAATAAAATTGAAGTGATGATTGGTAACAAGTAGGCTCCAAGGTCTATAAATAATAAATAATAAATATTATATATAAGATAATTAATAAATTATAATTAATGAAACAATATCATACCAAAATAATTCCAGATATCAGCAAGATATCTCATTGGGTTCCAAATAAATTGTCTTGCTTCAAAATTAAGATGAAACAATCCAAGGATGATTGTAATAATAAATAGTGAATTTCTATTTCCATCAGATAATTTGATCTGAGGTTGCAATTGCAAAGCATGATAAAAATGCTGTATAAAAAATCCAAATTCCCAAATAATATTTGAATCCAAAATTATTCCACTTGGAATTCAAGATTGTTTGCCCATTCCAATGTTTATAGAATTCTAAGGTATCTAATTCAATAAATTTGCTATTTGCTGGCTTATACAACAATTCTTTCCAAAATGGATATTCATTGTTGTAAGTAAGTAATCCAGGATATGGTATTATTAATCTTACACCTGGTTTTTTAGATTTGTTATTTGATTTGTTTCTAAATTTTATGATAGAAATCCAAAAACTTTTTTTTGTAAATTCCATCAATAACTATAGCATTATAAAAAATTTCCACATCATCAAGACCTATCTCAAATGGAGATGATATCATTGAAGTCCAACTAAAGAATTTTGGTATTAAAGTATCATGATTTTTTTCTAGTCTTGGTAATTCTAATATAATTATTTTTAATAAACTAATATTTAAATCAGTATCTTTTATAAAATAACCAAGACAAGAATTGAATACTTTTTCCACTAGAGTACTATTACTATTATCTAATGCTCTCTTTAATATTTCCTTTCCAAATTTGTTGAAATAATAAAACTCATCAAGTATACCATCTAAAATTTCTTTATAAGGTTGTCTAATAATTTGATGTTTATCAATAATTGGCATATTAACATTTTCAATAATATGTCTGAAATCAAATAAATAATCTTCAATTGCATTATTCTCAATAGCTAATTCAATATCATCCCAAATGGTTATGAACTTTGTAAATATTTTGGAATTTCTGTTGCTAACTGATAAAATACATATACAATAGTCTGCAAGTATAATTAAATCATCATTATTTAATAATTTACAACAATCAAATTTAAGTAATTTATGAAGACCATATTCATCAATTGTTGGTGATAATTCTTCTTCCATCCCACCATTAATTTTTTGTGCTTTTATATTAATATTTTTAGATTTATTATCATATTCTATTGACCATTTAATTGATTTTCCAGTTTCTATGGTAAATTCTGCTGATCTTTCAGGAAACTTGGACATTTCAAATATTTCTTGTAATGTTTGTTTTACATGTAAACAATAATTGTTCTTTAAATGTATTTTTTGTTGAATATCATCAAATTTTTCTTTGTTAATAATTTCTTTAATGCATAATTGATTGCCTATAGCCATGGCTATTTTACCATGTGGTAAAATTGGTCCAAATAAAATATCTTCACATTCATTTTCATTTGTAAAATACTCTGTAATATCCATATCCATACAATCACCAAGATTATAAGGATCCATTAATTTATAATTATAACTTTTTGTGTCTTCATGATAATATATTACTAATAAGTATTCTAATTGATCTGTTGAATAAATAAAATCATATTTTTTCATATCAATATTTTTTTCCAATTGGGCTACAATATAAAATTATATTTATTAAATTTATAAATTAATATAACATGCAAATAATAAGAATATAATACTTACTTGAAGAAATAATAATATTATTTTTTAATGAATATACAACTAATATTGAATATAACCCATTATATAGAGCCATTATTGTTTTATCTTTATTAAATATAATAATATCATCATAACCTTGACATACTAAATAATAATTATCTTGATATGACATTTTTACACCATTCCATTGTGATATAAATGAATTGTCAAAACCAATTAAAAAATTGCCAGAATTTACAAAAATATTGAGAGAATTATCATAAGAATAATAATATGTTGATTTATGAACCAATTTATCATTTGCATTACTGTCATCATTACTCAAATATGAAAAATTGTATAAATGGCTGATATCATCATAAATATACTCAAACATTAATAAACCATTATTTGTAATAAAATATCCATCATCATATCTATTATATATTTTATCACTAATTATAAAGTCAATGTATTTTTTTTTTGTAAAGTCAAGAAATTCTAAAAAGTCAATTTTAAATGATTTAAATATAATATTATAATAAAACACATATATCAATTAATTAATAATTGCTTACTATAATGTCCTAAATTTTTATTATGATCTTCACCACGTTTATTATATAAAATTATATATTTGTCATCAGAAACATCTTTTATATAAATACCAATAGTAGTATCATCTACTTTTTCAAAATCATCTTCAGAATATTTAAAGCATTCATCATTATCTTGCTGGATAGTTCCGTTGTCAAGATCCACTGTCCATCCAACAATAGATGAATCTTTTCTACTATTAGTTATTAAAAAGTTTAAATTAGGACTACATTTTATTTCATCAATATCACATCCATTATGTGTATTATTTTGATATTGAATAGCATTATCATTTATATTTGTATTTAAATTAGAATTATGATTATTTTCTTCCCAAATAGCATCATTTAAATCATTTGTATTTAAATTATAATTATGATTATCTTCCATAATTGGTATTTTATCTTTTTCTGTATTCAATACTGTTACTACTTCTATAATGTCAATATTATTATCATCATTTGAGTTAAAATTATTTTCTGCCATTTTTAAATAATAATAAATAAATAAAACTTTTTCAATGTGCGTATGAAAGGATAAATTTTTTTTTAAAAAAAAATTTATTTGATAAAAGAAAGATTTCGTATGTTTTATCGGATGCAGTCATCAGAATGGCGTACATCTACTTATACATAGATGAACAAAAGTCTATGATTGATTAGAGCAC